GGGGTCCTTTAAAAATTTTTCTTTAGGTATTCGAATCCGTCCTCGCCTCCAACAACATCAAGCGCGACCCATTCGCCAAGATATCGCCGGCGATGCGCAGGAAACAGGATTGTGAGTTTTTATGAATTAAGCAGCGCGTTTCCTAAAGAATCTGTGCCAGCCTGCCCATTCCTAAAGAATTTCTGCTAGCTTGCCTTTCCTAAAAAGTTTTTCAGCTGCTGAAGCCGAAACTACGGGTAATATAAAATTTGTGTAGTTATTTTAGAAAAATTAGCAAAAGCACGATTTTATTAACTATACCTTTGGTTCTGGCATGATCGATCTATCGTTTTATTTTAGTTAAATTTAACCTCGATTTTTTTCTTCTTGAAATGGTAATAAATTAACATTTTTTTAGTGCGCCGTCGCGTGTTCTTGCAACAAACGGAAGCGCCGACAAGTCCAGCAACTACCACAGCCACAACCAGGTAATTTAAATGATCGTTGCTAGCCTGTCCTTTCCTAAAGCATCTCTGCCAGTTTGCCCGGAATTCCTAAAGAATCTCTGCTAGCCTGCCCTTCTTTTCTGAATTATCTCTGCTAGCCTGCCTAATTTGACATTTTCAGTGGGCCCCCAACTACCGTAACCACATCTACCGTACCCAGCACCACCTCCATCACCACCACCGACGCGACGACGCGTAGCACCAACTTCCGTCCCACCGCGCCGATGGCCCCGCCCACTTTTGGAGGCGTTACCACCACGGAAAAGGTACTTTAACCAGATTTTCAATCTCATAATGTCGAAATTCGTAATGTCGACATTTCATAATGTCGAAATTTCATAAGGTCGAAATTCAGAAACCCGACATTTCTTTGCACAGGTGCAAAGAAAGTTTCTTTCTTCGCAAGTTTTTAGCTTAGCTTCGATTAACTTATGTACATTTCGACATTATGAATTTCGACACTTTCAAAGAAATCCGAATACTAATTTTTTTTTGTTTAGCCAAAAACGAAATCCCCGGAAGAAATCGAGAAGCTACGCCGCGAGCAGATCGCCAAGAAACGCGAATTGGAAGCTCGGAAAAGAGAGGTAGAAATTTTGATGATAGGTAGCGCGTTTGGAAGCGCGAAAAGCGCTACAAGGAAACGAAGTAAGTAAGCTAAGCTTCCGACGCCTAAGCCGAGCCTAAGAATAATTTGAAGCCGGCTTCTCTTCACCTGAATATGCTACAGCAATCAGAGATAGCGCGTTTGAAAGAGCACGAAAAGGGCTACAAGGAAACGAAGTAAGCTTAAGCTAAGCTCTCGAAGCCTAAGCTAAGCTTAAGCAAAATTTAAAGCTGGCTTGTTTTTGGGCAGGAAGGTGCTACAGCAATGAGAGATAGCGCGTTTGAAAGAGCACGAAAAGGGCTACAACGTTGAAGCAAAAACTGCACTAATCCTAAGCTAAGCTTTCGAAGCCGAAGCCGAAGCCTAAGCACGAAACAGGCTACTAGGCCTACTAAAAAACCGAAGCTACTAAGCGCCCTCAGCAAGTTCAATTCCTATTCATTTAGCCGCTCGTTGTCGAGTACGCGATTACCGTAAGATATCGGGTGAGCCGTGGCGGGCATGTGGCTATCCTGTATGCTAAAAACTTTCCTATTTTCGGTTTAAATTATAATTTCTTGCATGCAGCACTCTATTTTAAGTTTCTAAAATATTAATTTTTAAAGTTAAATTTTGTGATGCGGAAAGCTGCCTGAAATTTATTTTTTGCACTGTTAAAATTTAAAATTTAAAAATTCATTTTAGATCGAAGAAACGAGACGACGGGTTAAAGAATTGGAGCGAAGAAGAGCCGTGGAAAAAGAGGAGGACGAGAGACGGGCAGAAGAGAGGACGAGAGAGGATAAGAGACGCAGAGAAAGAGAGCGAAGGCTCGAGGAGGAGAAGGAGCAGGAGGCGAGAAGGAGGATGAGTATACAGCAGAGGCAGCAGGATCAGTGGAGGAGGTGGGTATTTTGTTTAAATGATCTCTGCTGACTCGCCCTTTCCGCAAGAATCTCTGCTAGCCTGCTTTATTTCCTATAGAATCTCGGCTAGCCTTCCCTCATAATCTCTCACTCTCTCTCCCTCTCTCCCTCTATCCCTCTCGCTCTCTGTCGCTTTCTCTGGATATCTCTCGCCCTCGCTCTCACTCGCTCTCTGTCTCTCTCGCTCTCGCTGTTTCCCGCTCTCTCTCTCTCTCCCTCTCTCTGACTCTCTCTGTATTCTCTCGCTCTCGCTCTCTCGCTCTCTCGCCCCTTCCTCACTCTCTCTCTCTCTCTCTCTCTCTCTCTCTCTCTCTCTCTCTCTCTCTCTCGCTCTCTCACTCTCTCTAATTGCTCGTTTCCACAAAGAATCCCTGCTAATTTCTACTTCCTTGCTCCTTTCCTCCAGTTTCTCTGCTAGCTTGCCTTCATAGAATTCGTTGTTTTCAGGGACAACGAGCGTCGTCTCGAACAAATCCGACTCCGCGAGGCCGAGGATCGACGTAAAGAGGAGCAGCGCGTAGCCGAGGAGGAGCGACAGAAAGAAGTGGCCAAACTGGCTGAGCTCGAGAAGAAAAAGGCGGAGGAGGAACTGGAGAAGGAGGTGAGGCTTATTTGTCGCCGATCATTTGGGAATTGAGGGGCATGCTAGCAGAAACCATTTGAGAATGTATTGTTTTAGAAGCTCAAAGCCATCGAGCCGATCGTGCGCGTCGCCCGCAAGCTGGTCGACGGCCGCATCGAGGAGAAGGAGGTCGAGGTTTTGGAGGTAAAAAATTTTTCTGCTTCTCGTTTGTTGGCAAGCGTAATGTTCTAATTTTCGTTTCTAGGCCCAATCCGACACCGGCCGCTCAGACGCTTCATTGGTTACGGTAGCCGTAATCGAGCTTCCACCGAAGTCGAGCACTGCCGCCTACACGACCTACTCTCCGCTGCGCATCCCACCAAATGCCGTCACGCAGAGTTATACGAGGTACGTAGGCTGGGCTTAGGCTTGGCTTAGGCTTGGGTTAGGCTTGGCGTAGGCTTGGCTTGGCTTAGGCTGGGTTTAGGCTTGGCTTAGGCTTGGGTTAGGCTGGGTTTAGGCTTGGCTTGGTTTTGATTTTTTCTTAGTTTTATTGATTTAAATTTACTCAAATTTTCCAGTAGCCGCGACCAGCCGTTCCCCGACATGCCGGAGGTCCGAATTATCCCTGGCCAACTGCCAGCGCACACAAAATCGACGTATCCACCACCTCGGATCACTCAAAGAACCGACGACCGCTACACGACTACGGTAGCTTTTGTGGATGACTGTATTTTTGTTTGCTTTTAATTTGTTTGTTTGATTATAGAAATTAATGTTCTTTTTTTCCAGGTCCCGATCGCGTTCCGGGACCCGTCCTGCCGAGATCTCCGGTATTCGTGCTCGTTCTGGCTGAAGAACTCGCCGGAAGTGTGCGTCACGCAGGTATATTTTCCTCAATGGTCGCCGCTAGCTTGCCCGGGTTTTGATTTCCTTGGGGGTTTTTGCTAGCTTGCCCTGAATTCTGGACGGTTTAACGAATTTCTTAAAGAATCTTTGCTAGCCTGCCTTTTCCTAAAAAATCTCCGCTAGCCTGCCCTGCCCTAAATTTCTTTGCTAGCTTGCCCTTTCCTAAAGAACCTTTGCTTGCTTGGTTTTCCTAAAGGAATCCCTGCTAGCCTGCCCTTTCCGAAAGAATCTCTGCTAGCTGGTCTGCCATTTTTTACAAAATTAGCAAAGTAAGTCAACTCAACTAAATTTATTTAAATTTGAAAACAAAAAATAAAACTAGGAGATTTAATGTGGATCAATCAGGGCTTAAATAAAATAAGAGTATTTAACCAAATATAAATATAAAATTAACTTAAAATGTTTAGCGCTCTTTCATGCGCGCCCAGTGCGCCTACACTTGCCGCTTTTTGCCAGCCGGCCGGCGAGGCGATCATGGTCGCCGGCCCGTTTTTGGAGCAATAAAACGGATTTTTGATGTTTCTTTATTGATTTTATATAATTTGTTGGATATTAACACAGAATTTAAAATCTTTTTCTAACTCATTTTTAAGGATTTGTCATGGGAAACGATGTTCTATAGATTTTCCACTTGCCAAATCCTTTAAAATTGAAAAGGAATGGTGAAGTATTTATATTTAGCAATTTCTTATGGATTTCCCGCTTCACAAGTCCTTTAAAATTAAATTAACAAACTTAAAAACTACAAAAAAAAATTATAAAAATCATTTATCAATTTTTTTCTACAAATTGCCAATTGAATTTACGGGTTCTCTCCTTCTCCCTTTGACTTCTCGATAGTCCGCGCTAGGCACTGTGGCTGGCTTTAGAAGTTTTCTCGAGTTAGTTTATTGATTTTAAAGTTAAATTAACTTTATCTATTTATTTTACGTGCTAACCCTAGGATTCGAAATTTGCATTTTTTTATTCGTGTTTTTGTGCGTTAAAATAATGCATAAAATAATGTTGAAAACTCATATATAAAAAAGCACCTCAGGGAAAACACTAAATACACGTTAAAAACAAGCAAAAACGTTTTTAAACGGTCTCTGCTAGCCTACCCCTTCCTAAAGAATCTCTGGTAGCCTGCCCTGCCCTAAAGAATCTCTGCTAGCCCGCCACCGATTTCTCAACCTTGCTCGATCACCCGATTTCTGACTATCCAACAGCGTGGCGCTGATGCTCAGTTTTCCCGCTCTCTTTTCCCAGCGTTGAGCACAAAAATTAGCATAATCCCCGCCAGTTAAACAACCGCAGGCCAGAGGGACGGGGAGGTCGATAGGGTCGGTCCCGCGTCACGTGTTTGCTTCGCAAAATTCACAGTTTTTTACTTTAAAATCTAAATGGGCCGTTTTAAGGGTACTTTTGCATTATCCGGGGGTCTGGCGAATTTTTTATAACCCTCAAAATGCGCGTAACAATTATTTATATTTACCGTGTTTTCATCTGGTTTTTAGTAAAATTTAACTGTATTTAACGCCAAAAGCCCGCAAAAAATTTTAGATCTTTTTAAAATTCGAACTTCTGATCGAAAAACGCTATATTTTTTCTCAAAATTTGTAGTTTTTACGTTAAGGAACAGAACAAACAATTTAGAAACATTTCCTCTACTTATGTTGGCAAAATAGGATCCTAAGTTGGTCCCCCCCCCGATAATGCAAAAGCACCGAATTCCCCTTAAAGTTTAAGCTTTAAACTTTAATCGATTTTTATACATTTTTTCATGTTTTTCGATGCTTAGTTTTAGACGCCCCTTTCCTGTCGCCAGGAAGCTATAGGAAATTTTTGAAAATCCACAGTTACACCAGAAAATTAACATAATTTACTCCAAGTAATGGATGAGGATCTTGAAGGTGATTTTATTAGTAGTATTCTGTCAAAAGCTTCTGTTTTTAGGAGTGCTAATCGTGCTCGGCATCCTCGGCATCGGCATTATTGGAGCGATTGTGCTTTTGATATTGGTGAGAATTTCAAATTTGCGTTGGCAAGCTAGCAGAGATTCTTTAGGAAAGGGCAGGCTAGCAGTGATTTTTTGGAAAGGGCAGGCTAGCAGAGATTCTTTAGGAATTGCAGAAATCATTAATTTCGGAATCTTTTTTAGTACGCCGAGCCAGTGCGTCGCCTGCTGCGGCTTCATCGGGACAAAGAAGACGAGGAGGACATCGAGACGGGCGGCACGCCGAAGAACTCGAAAAAGAAGTCGATGAAGCGGACGCATATCGTGGTGGCGCAGGGGAAGAATGTCTTCGAGATAGGTAAGATAGTTTCTTAAGTTTACGCTTCGGCTTAGGCTTAGGACCAGGCTTAGGACTAGGCTTGGCCTGGGCTTAGGCTTGGCTTAGGCCTACAAGCCGTTTTGCCGGTACAACCAACTCATCCGATTTTTTTGTTTTCAGACGAAGAAGCCAAGTCGATTCGAAAAGTTTCCAAGCCAAGCCGCCAACTTACCGTAGCCGTCCACCCTGCCCCGAGTACGCCACGCTCCCTTCCGTCTACACCACTCGGAAATCAGGCACCAGTTTCGTTCGACGACGTTCCGAGGGGAAAAATTGCGAAGTAAGTGGATTTTTTGGGTTTCGAGTGCCTTTAAGGTTGCTGTAAGTGACTGGCGTTTTCCGAAATGGTCTTTGTTAGCATGCCCTTCATTATTCAGGGCTAAAAATTTGAAAGCGTCTCTGCTATTTTTCCCCATGCTCGAAGCAAACCTGAAAATTTACCATTCCTCAATTGTTTCTGCTGATTTGCCCTAAAATTCATGGCGGAGCACCGCAAAGAAACTCTGCTGGTTTGCCCTAGGCTTTATTTTTAATTCACAAATACAGATAAAGCTTTTTAAAAAGTGTTTTCCTAGAAATTTCACATTTTTCCCAAATTCTCTCTGCTAGGAAGCCATTTTCGAGCTCTCCCGGTATCAATAAATGTAGATTTTTGCCTTGCGTGTACCTTTAAAATGAATAGTAACCTGCGCGTTCCTAAACGTTCTCTGCTGGTTTGCCCCAATCGAATTTCAATTTTTTTTGCTCGAAAAATCGATAATTTTTATACGTATTTTGTAGCTTTGCGCTTAGTAATATCAAAATCTGTTTGGAACCTCTAGGTAATTTGAAATAACGGGCTTCCCCCCCCCGGATAATGCCAAAGTACCAAGTTTTATTTCCAGAACGAACTCGGCCCCATTCGATCACCTTGAAGCGGCGAGTTCCGTGTCGGGATCCGGGCCAGAAGGAATTCGCAGTATTCTCCGGCGTCCCCTCGTCCCCTCATCGCTTAATGGAACGACGTCAACGTCATCTGAGAAGAAGAACACCGTACTCATCATACACGAGGGAAATCGTTTTCGGGTAAGTCAAATTTATCGTAAAGGGCGACCTAGCAAAGATTATTTAGGAAGCCGGGCAAGCTAGGCTGGGTCTTTTGCATTATCGGGGGCCAACTTTTTTTGCATAAGTCTAGAAAGCCCTAGTAACAATAAGAAGTGTTTTCATAGTGTTTTTAGTTATATAACTATATAACTAGAAAAACTATCTGAAAAATTTTAAGAAAGTCAAACTTTTGGCCAAAACACGGCGATTTTCGATCGAAAAATCGATGTTTTTGATATTTTAGTGTAAATTTGTCTATTTTTCACGTTTAGGAACCATAAAAAACCATTTAGCAACACTTTCACGATTTATATTTGATAAACTAGATCCTAAACTAGCATAGAACCTTTGGGGAAATCACCTAAAAATCCCAGAAAATCGTCCCCTCCGAAGTCTCCTCCTTGCCGACGTCGCCGGAACAGGAGACAAACTATTTGCCGGGCTACCGGGCGCTGAGCGATCGGCGCAGCTCGTGCTCCTAAACAAAGCGTGTATTTTTGTGTAAATTGTAGCCTTTAGTTTGGCTTTAGAGGGACTTGGCAAAAAGTATCTTTAAAAGTTTCTTTAATGTTTAAAAATACCTTGAAAAACTGGAATTCAAACGATTAAAATATGCCTGCTATTTAAAGCTTCCCAGTTCCTTTAAAAACCACAAAAATTCCATTAAACTTCAATGTACTAACACGGCTTCTCCTCCGCTTTAATTTTAACCCCTTTCAACTAACCAGCGACTAACGAAAAATTGCGCAAATTTGCATTGAATTACGCGACATAATTATGGTTATTTATTTGATACAGTATTCCCTTAAATTTATGTGATAAAATAAGATAATAAAAGCTAAAAAAAAAATTTAAAAAAATCCATGTTACCTACGCACAAAAATTTGTGGTGCCGATGGCTGGCGGCGGGCGTGCCTGGCGGACTCACAACTCATCAGCCTCTCCCCACCACCCTCTCCCATCCGGGGGTATAGCTCAGTGGTAGAGCGCTCGCTTAGCATGCGAGAGGTCTGGGGTTCAATTCCCCATACCTCCAGAAAGTTTTTGCTTTTTGAGAATCCAGGTTGTTTTTAGTTTCCGGTTACTGTAATCACTTTAAAAATCAGGGCAGGCTGGCAGGGATCGTTTAGGAAGCTCTATAACCTGGGGGTCGATTTTAAGGCTTACATGCCAAATTTGATGTCATTTGGAGCTTGCGGAGATGAAGCTAGCTGAAAGGCTCGGTAGGACCTCAGCTGGCGATGGTAAACTAGCAGAGATCCTTGCGGAACACCTAAGCAAAGCAGAGAAAGTCGAAAACGAAAGCTTAAACATGCACTCCCGAAAACTAACCTCAAACTTGGGTAATTAAACCGGCGATCGCTATTAATTTCCAACTTTCTCACTCGCCCCCCACCTGGCCCACTGTCAGGGCAGATAGTCCAGCCCTCTCCACCTCAATTCGTCAGTCGGTTCACCCCGACCTTCTGACCCGGTGGCTCCGTACAGCCAACAAATGGGTGTCAGGGCTCCCCTTAATGCCTGAAAATGGGTGGATGGCTCCCCTTAATGCCAAGAGAAAGCTTCGGCTTTGCAGTCAAATACTGGCTTGACTACGTGTTCTACGTAGTCCAAATGCCTAAGCAACCGGTTGGTAAGGCTGCAGCCACAGGCGCGGCACTTACGAAAAAGCCTGGCCCATACACGTGGTGGCCAAAAAAGGCAAATTTCCCTCCAATTTTTGCATTGTGCCCCCCCCCCGTCCCAATGTTTTCCCCCGGTCCCCCTCCCCTCCCCCCCCCCCCCCCCCCAAAAAACCCCAAACCCCCAAAAACTCTTGCCCTTCCACTACTTATATTTCAAAACTTGGATCCTAAGAAGTAAGTTGGTCTCCCGCGCCAATGCGAAAGAGCCAATAGAAACGAAAACTTAAAAATGCTATCCAGAATATAACCTCAAACTTGGGTAATTAAACCGGCTATCGCTGTCATTTGTCACTTTCTCACTCGCCACCCACCTGGCCCACTGTCTGGACAGATAGGCCAGCCCCTGCTAGCCCTAATCGTCGGTCGGCTCTCGCCGGTCCTTGCGACATGGTGGCTCCGTAAAGCCAACAAATGGCTGTCAGGCTCCCCTTAATGCCTGTGATCAGGAAAGGCTTCGGTTTCTTCCGAACTGTTAGTTTTCTCCTAGTTTTCTATTAGACCACTCGTCTAAGGTTGGACCGGTTATTAAGACTGGCTTCGGCTTTCCCGGCGCTGCTCCCCTGAACTGCTCGAAGACTTCACGGCAAGCTGCCATGGCTAGTATTTTACTATGCCAAAAGTGAGGGAGGCCATTAATGCGCCATACCTCACGACAGATCCTTGGCGAACATATCACGAACCTTCCTTCAACCGAGGGGCTGCCCTTATGCCCTGACAGCGGGCCAGATGGGGGGCGAGTAGGGCTGGTCTTTGTGCGTTCTTCGCATGCTCTCTGGCCCACCGCCCCACTCGTCCCCCATCTGGCCCACTGTCAGGGCATAAGGGCAGCCCCGCGGCCGAGTCATCGGAGGTGTTGCCTAAGGTAGCTGATGTTGCCGCAGGTTGCCCTCCCCCGCCTAGCTGAGCTGAAGCTTTTGAACCTCTGATCCTCAGAGTCACGACACCAATTTTGATTTCCGTCCGAGGATTTTCGAAGTACTTTAATCAAACTAAACCTTGTTGCGGTCAGTGTCATTTGAGTGTACTTTGATCACCACCGACTCGTCACCCGTCTGGACCACGGTGAAACTATACCTCGGAAAAAAACGCCGGGTTGGTGGTCGGGGAGGAGGGTGGAGTTACCATTCAATTATTTTCAGATACTTTAAGATAGTATTATTAGAATAGCATTAAAGATACTCCCCCTCTATTATTGATAGTCTTCAGGAGACTATATTATCCAAAATTGAGAATTTACTAATTTCTAAACTTCACTTCTGAATTTAGAATTCAGAGGAAAGTTAGAAAGTAGCAATTCATGTTTCAAAAAGTTATAGCTCAGGGTTAACCCGAAACTCTAATCTGGTAGTCCCGTTTCTCCGAAGAGAATTGGTGACGTGACTCTGAGGATCAGAGGTTCAAAAGCTTCCGCTCCGCAAACGAGCAGAGCTTCAGCTAAGCAAGGATCCGTGGGGCTGCCCTTATGCCCTGACAGTGGGCCAGATGGGGGACGAGTGGGGCGGGGGTCAGAGAGCATGCGAAGAACGCACAAAGACCAGCCCTACGAGTGCTCGATGCATGCTTTCTGACCGCCACCCACTCGCCACCGGTCTGGCCCATTGTCAGGGCATAAGGGCAGCACCTCGGTTGATTTGGTGGAGGTTCAGCCCACGGCATCATTTGTTGCCGCAGGTTGTCCTCTCCCGCAAAGCGGATCCTTGCCTAGCTGAAGCTCTGTTCGTTCGCGGAGCGGAAGCTTGGGCAATTTCAAGCTTTTGAACCTCTGAATTAACAAAAATTAACCTTGTTGCGGCCAGTGTCATTTGAGTGTACTTTGATCACCACCGACTCGCCACCCTTCTGGACCACGGTGAAACTATACCTCGGAAAAAAACGCAGGGTTGGCGGTCGGGGAGGACGGTGGGCTTACTATCCTTTTAATTTCAATTACTTTTGAGATAGTATTATTATCAGGAATTATCATATTGATATTAAAATAGTATGATAATAGTTATACTACTATCTACAAGATAGTTATTCAAAAATTTCAACAGTTCTCCATACTTCGTGGCGAAGCTTGGACTTGGTATTTTCAACAAGGATGTGAAAATCGCAGGTCTGGAAATGAAAATGCACCCAAAAAGGCTGACTTCAAATCCGCAAGCTTCGCAAAGCACAACCTGCTAGGCTTGAGTTAGCCAGCTTCACTTTGCCCAAGCTTCCGCTCCGCAAACGAGCAGAGCTTCAGCCAGGCAAGGATCCGCATAGCGGGGGAGGACAACCTGCGGCAACAGAGTTACCTTAGACTGAACCTCCAGGAACTCAGCCGAAGAGGCAGCCCTTATGCCCTGACAGTGGGCCAGACGGGTGGCGAGTGGGTGACGATCAGAAAGCATGCATCGAGCACTCCTATGTTAGCATTTTTCTGTATTTTTCGGATTTTCGTAGGGTGCATTTCGTGTCATCATAATCCAGTGCATTCACTCACATAATTTTTCAAACTTTTATAGAACGTCTCTAAGTGTCAAGGGTGTATCGTGTGAATAAGACTTGGCCGCGGACTGGGGAAATCAAATAAAATACATCGTAAGAGTTAAACTTTAAATTTCAAAACTAGCCAGAACAGGGGGACGGTTTTTTAGGTTACAAAATCAGCAATAAGGGGGTGATTTTTGTTTTTGGAATCTGCATCACAACGCTCGCCACGCCGCACGGCGCGGGGGAAAATTAAATTGACTATACAATTGGGGAGGTACAAATGACATAACGGGGGGGGGGGGCTAGGGGGGACAGCGTGGAATAGAGTACACGAATTTCCGAAATATACCGTACACACCCGCATCGGCACAGCAGCAGCAATGAAAGGAAAAACAAACGAAAATAGAGACAAAAACCGACGGATTTGAATTCCAAAAATACCCAAAATTGTGCAAAATTTTGCCGTTTTGAATTTGTTAAATCTTGGGGGACAACGTTACGCACCGGTTTACGCGGTAAAAAAAATAGGAAAATAGGTCTTAAAAATCGGAATTTCTGCTTTAATTTTTGACAAAGTTTTGAGCTGAGTTGGTGGGGGTTTCGCAGGGGCTACCGTAACCCAGGAATCGTGATTTTTGCTAAAAAATGCTAGGTAACCAAGGATTACTGTAGCCCGGGCAGAACATGGAAAATACAATAAATATCAAAAACAAAATATAGGGAATAGAAATGGAACCGCGAGAATTTTGTTGGCAACAAGGCGGGACGGGCTGAGTTTTTCACGGGTAAAATTCGAATTGTTAAATTTAAATTAGGTGCTTAAGCATTATCGCGGGGGGGGGGCAAGTTCGAAACTTCGAAAAAAATTTTTAAAGTGAAATTTTCGTCGAAAATTGGCAATTTTTGTCGAAAACTCTTTTTTTGTATGTAAATAAAAATCTGTAAAGTTTTAACGTTTCGGAATAGTAAAAAAAAACAGTTTAGAAACACGTCGTCTATTTATGTTCTAAAAATTGGACCCATAGAAAAAGTTGCCCCCCCCCCCGATAATGCCAGAGATCCCTAATTTTTAAGCTTTCAAATTCACCCAAACACAAAATTTGAATCGTCTTTACGGTATACTTGAGGCACTAACACGCATTTCTCGAGGAGTAGGTAGTTGGACGGGGGGACTGACCAAAGTGGGGGAAATAAAAAATTACCGAAAAATTAGCATAAGCGTGTTGTTGAGGAGTCGAATTGGGCAAGTTGGACCCGGAAATTGTTGCGGAAGTTGTGAAGATGCAGCACGTAGTCGTGGTAGTCGTAACAGCAGAAGATCACCGGAAGTCGGGCCCGAAATCGGGGATGTCGATCTCTTTGTAGCCCTGGAAAAAGGAGCTTTAATTTTTATAGCAATTAATAAGTTAATTAATACGTACTAAAACAGTAATAATATTTAAATTAGTCTAAATCTTAGAGAAATTTAGTTTACGCCAGGGATAAATCAAAGAATCCCTGCTAGTTCGCCCCCGCAAGCTACTAAAAAATTGAGCTCCATCCGCAAAGATCTCTGCTAGATTGCCTATAAAGAATCTTCTGCCACTTCCCTACAAAACTCTGCTAGCTCGCCTCGAAAATTCACAATAATCCTTTAAGATCACTGCTAGATTCTCTTTCAGCCTGACATCCTATTTCCCTGAAAATCTCTGCTAGCTCGCCCCGAAAAGCAAGAAAAATGCGAATTTCCTAAAAAACGCTGCTAGATTGGCTAGAAGCAAGCTTTAAATTTCCCTAAAAATTTCTGCTAGCTCGCCCGTAAACGCTAAAAACCAGCATCTCCGAATTCCGCAAGGATCACTGCTAGCCTGCTCGCATAAAGAATATTAAAAAAGTCCCGACCTGCCCACAGTTTCCTCAATAATCTCAGCTAGCCTGCCCCGTTTCCTCAAGAATCTCCGCTAGCTTGCCCTCAGTTTCCTCCAAAAATCTTCGCTAGCTTGCCCCCAATTTCATCAGAAAAATCTCCGCTAGCCTGACCCAGTTCCCCAATAATCACTGCTAGCCTGCCAAAAAAATCTCAAAAACTTCTTAAATCCAAAAAAATACGAACCTTGAGCCAATACGTCGTCTGAAGCCCCTTGCCCTTCATCTCGACCTCGCCGCGCAGGTCGAGCCGGAACTCGCTGGGGTCGAGCATGTTCTTCGCCTCGCTGGAGACGTGGATACGGAGGGCTGGAAAAGAGGGGGATATAAATTAAAAAGAACAGGAATCCATTGTAGATGAACATTTTTGATGCTAAAAACTCACGAAAGCCGTTGCTCTCCATGCGGCTGGCCGTGTTGACCGTGTCGCCGAAGAGGCAGTAGCGCGGCATCTTCGAGCCGACAACACCCGCAACGACGGAACCTGCAAAAGGAGGGTAAGTGAGTGAGAGAGCGAGAAATAGAGAGCGAGCGAGAGAAAGAGAGAGAATGTGCGAGAGAGAGAGAGAGAGCGAGAGACAAAACTAGAGAGAGTCATAAAGTTTTCTGAAAAAACTAACCAGAATGCATCCCAATCCTCAACTTCAGCTGCTCGTTGGGCCGATGCCTGATGACGAAATTCTTGACCTTGTGGAGGAGGGCGATGCTCATCTGGGCGATCTGCGACGCGTGATCATCGCGACGTTCGGGCAGCCCGGAGACGACCATGTACGCGTCGCCGATGGTTTCGACCTAAAACAAGAAAAATATTTTTAGGCCTCAGCAAGTCGTGCTCACCTTGTACACCTTGAAGTTGTCGACGACGCCGTCAAAGGCGAGGTAGAGGTCGTTGAGCAGGGTGACGACTTGCATGGGGGTGGACATGCTGGAGAGGCTGGTGAAGCCGACAATGTCCGAGAAGTAGATGGTCACGCTCTCGTACGTCTCGGCCTGGACGGCCCGGCCGCCGATCAGCTGAAACAAAGTTTTCGTGAAATAAAAAATCCTAAAACGTCTCTGCTAGCAGCCCGGGCGCTAGCTTTCCTCAAAAGGTTTCTGCTAGTACCCCCATCATCAAAATTTTCTCAAACGCTCTCTGCTAGCTGCCCTGGAATTCGAAAGCCAGTAAAAATTGAAAAAATCCATCTACTATATTTTCCTAAATTATCTATACCTAAAAGTTTCTCCAATGATCCCTGCTAGCCTGCCCTCACTTTCTCACTTCCTCAAAGTTCTCTGCTAGCTAGCCCAGCCCTGAAATTCCCAAAGAATCTTTGCTAGACAGCCACCAAAATCCTCTTTTTTTTCACAAAAATCTCTGCAATGCTGTCTTTTGCACAGTTTCCCCAAAAATCCCTGCTAGCCCCTCGAAGCCAAAATTTCCCCAAAAATCTTTGCTAATTTGCCGTAATTTCCGAAAAAAAACCCTTATCCAAATTTAAAAAAAAAGAGAACGAACCTGATCAGCAACAGATGGAGGCAAGAGTTGGTGGAGCAGCTCTTCGACCTTCTTCTTCTCGGCCAGGTATTCTTGCGTCCGCTCCTCCACCAGCCCTTCCAGGTTGTTCGCGTACTGCTCCATCCGCTTCAGCAGGTTGTCGACCAGGTTCGAGGTCTCGTTTTCCCTGAAAAAAATCGATAAAATTATTAAGTAAAAGGTTTAAATTTTTATTGCCTACTTAGCATAATTTTCAAAAGAAAACTTGAAAAATACCTGTTTAAACTCCTGACGACCTTGCGGATCGTCGAAAAGTCGGGCCGATCGTGCGGGTTCTCCTGCCAGCACGTCATCATCAGGTCCATCAACGTCGGCTCGTACGGCTCTTCACCTGTAAAAGAGAAGTAGAAAAGGTTTTTTTAAACTAAAAACTCAAATTTGGGGAAAATCCGGAGTTTCCAGCAAAATCTCTGCTAGCCTGCCTCCCCTCCAAAATGACCTCTGCTAGTCTGCCCTCAATTCTCCAACGGTCTCTGCTAGCATGCTAGTAATTTCACCATTTGCGCTGCCAACCTGGCCAATAAAGTCCCAAATCCTTGCTAGTCTGCTGCTTTCATTCCCAAATAATTTCTGCTAGCCTGTCCCAATTCCCGAATAATCGCTGCTAGCCTGCCTAGCTTCAAAAAATAAAAAAAAACTTTTAAAAAATTCCCACCTTCCAACGGCTCGGCGACGTACGGCCTGAAGACGTCTTCGTCAGTCATCGGCGGCTTCATCACCCGCTCGAGGATTTCTAAAGAAGAAAACCAATTTGAATTAATTTTAATGTCCTACCAGATGGAGTCATCTCGACGTCTTCGCCAAGGTCAAAGACGCCCCGTCGCCACAGCATCTCGTGGAGGATGATGGCGAACGAGTAGACGTCTCCCTTTTGCGTGCCACCCACCGGGCGACTGTTGCCGACGCGAAGGAGTTCGGGGGATGTCCAGAGTTTTTCTGAAAAAATGAATTTATAGACGTTGAAAAATCTAATTTTTTTTAGTTAAAGGCAAAGTAGCAGAGATCATTGAGGAACAAGGGCAGGCTAGCAGAGATCATTTGGGAATTGAAGGAGCAAGCTAGCAAAGATTATTTGGGAATGGAGGGGGAAATAGCAGAGATCATTAGAGAATCGAAGGGGCAGCCTAGCAGAGACCATTTGGGAATGCGAGGGTAGGCATCTAGAGAGGCAACCTAGCAGAGATTTTTTGGGAATAGAAGGCAAACTGGCAAAGATCCCTTCGGAATAAAGGAGCAAGCTAGCGGTGATCATTTGCCAATAGGGCAAGCTAGCCAAGATCATTTAAGACTTTTCGAATCAAAATAAAACCCACTCTTCGCGAGGGCGTGCTCGCCGAGATCTGGAGGGTCATCTTCGAGCGCGTGCAGCTTGTGCAGCCCAAAGTCGGTCACCTGAAATAATAAAATAAGATTATTAAAATCTTGCGTAAATTTCATATGTTAACAATTAAAAATCGATACCTTGAGGACAAATCTGCTGTCGACGACGCAGTTGGTGGATTTCAAGCGGCCGTGCGTGCGCAGCTCGGAGTTGTGCAGGAAGTACATGCCCTGGAAAATGAAAAGATGATAATACCGAACAGTTCCGAAAAAATCTCTGCTAGATCTCCTGGTCGCCGAATTTTCCTAAAAGATCTCTGCTGGCCTGCCCCTTCCGAAATACCCTCTGCTAGCCTGCCCTTTTTAGAGAATCTCTGCTAGCCTGCCCTTTCCTAAAGAATCTCTGCTAGCCTGCCCTTTCCTAAAGCATCTCTGCTAGCCTGCCCTTTCCTACAGAATCCCTGCTAGCCTGCCCGGATTCCCAAATTTCCCCCGCTAGCCTGCCCCCCGCCCCCAATAATCCCTCCTCGCTGACCTTGACGAGATCGTGGAGCAGCGAGTACTTCATCATCTTGTCGAGTTCGATCTTCTCATTCTCGAGGATGTCTTCGAGGGATCCCTTCGGGCAGTATTCCGTCACGATACAGTAGTGGGGGCAGTCGACGCAGGCACCCGTGAACCGCGTGATGTGATCGTGCTAAAAAATTCTTCTGATTGGTCATCTACAGCTTCGAATTTCAAGTCTATAAAGTCTACTGGCGCGGTCGCTTAGAAAAAATGCGTAGAAAAAGATCATCTACAGCCTCCTGGCACGGTTCCTTTAAAACAGCAGAAAAGATCATCTACAGCATTGAAAGCTCAAATTAGAAATCAACATTTTCGATGTTCTTAGCTTTAAATTTGCACACTAAATTCAATCCCAGAAGTGCGAGGGAAAACGCAAAAATTGATCATCTACGGCTTGGAATTTTCGACAGACAGAATTTTCGTCAAAGAATCTCCGCTAGCTTGCCCGCTTAAACCAAGCGCTAAAAAAATAAAAATTGCACACCTGCAGGTCTTTCATCTTCTTGAACTCGAGCAGCATGGCCCTGTTGATGTCCAACTTGGGGAACTTCTTGGTGTCGATGGAGAGGGGCTTGATGGCCACCATGGCCCCCTTGTAGACGGCCGTCTTCGTGTAGATTTGCGCGTTGTTCTGCATTTGGATCGTCTCCACCGAGCCGCCGCTCTGAAAATGGCATGGTTTTTTGGACTCAGAATTTTGCAAAAATCATTGCTAGCCTGCCCTTAGTTTGGAAACGGTTTCCACAAAGTTCTCTGCTAGTTTTCCGATTTGACAAAAAATTCCACAAAGCTCTCTGCTAGTTTTCCCGGTATGAAAAAATAGGTTTCCCCCAAGGATCACCGCTAGTTTGCCTAGTTTCGGAAAACCTAATTTCCTCAAATATCACTACTCGTTTGCCCATCCACTAAAAATTTCCGGTTTTCCGCAAAGAGCCATCTGCTAGCTTGCCCTTTTTTGGGGAATCCGATTTCTTCAAAGATCCCTGCTAGCTGGCCTGCTAGAACAAAAACCAGTTGCCCCAAACGGCCACCGCTAGCTTGCCCCGCCTAAATGAACACCTGATTCCTCAAAGTTCTCTGCTAGCTTGCCTTCGACTTCAACAAAGCAAATTTCCCCAAAGATCCCTGCTAGCTTGCCTGCTATAAAAACCCGAATTTCCACAAAAATTACTGGTAGATTGCCTTCGGCCTTCGCAAAACCGAGCAAAAAAACCAACCTTAAACGACAACCCTCCAAAGGACAGCTTCCGCCCTCTCAGACTGACCGAGCCCTTCTTGTTCGAGATCGACTCCTCGTTGCTGTTCTTCTTTCGGTAGTCGGAATTCGAAGACACCGGCGAGGAAACCTGAAAAAAAATTAATAACTTCGAAAATTTCAAATTCTATACCTTGTGCTTCACCACGCAACTATATAAAAACTTAAACTTAAACTTAATCTTAATATAAACGCAAAATAAACATCGTGGAATTTTTTATAAAGTTAAACCTTAAAAAAGTCAAATAATCTACGAAAATTGTCTAATATAGAGTACTTTTTTCTAAACCTAAAATTCCTCTAGAGAATATCATTAAATCAAATGGGGAAAATTACTATTGTAATTTTGTGAATTTAAACTATGCTAAAAAAATAAAAATAAATCCAATCGATTATGCTGTGTTATAAGAACTACAAACCAGCTACAAGAAACATCGATTTAGGAAAAAGGACGGAATTGTTTCGAGTTTTTACTACAAAAATACAGTTTTTGGGCCGGGGTACGGTAATAGAGCTACCGTAACCCGAAATTTTCGTTAGTACGGAATTACGCGGAATTTTTGGTGGGTACTGTAGGCGTGTAAAGGAGTAAAAGGTGCAGCAGGAAAAATGGTGCAAACGTGAGAAATCGGGCCCAAAAATTCGGGCTTTCTAAAGGGTGCCCTAGGCGGGCCGAAGTACCGTACCCTGCGGTCGTTGAAGCGGACTTCTTGGTGATTGTTGAGGGGCGACGTCTCGCCATCCTGAAAGAAGCCGGGTGAGGAATGGTTTTTGGGTTATTTTGAGCGGACAACGGCAAGCAGAAAAATCCCCATGCTACGGTAGGCAGGCGGGGCGGGCTAGCGGGGGAATTTTGGGAAAAACTAGGCAGACTTGCAGAGGAAATCTGGGGAATAGAGGGGGTCTAGACTAAAAATTTGGGGAAAATCTGGCAAACTGGCAGGGGAATTTGCGGAAAAACTGGGTAGGCTAGCAGGGGAAATTTGGGGAATAAGGGGCAGGCTAGCAGAGAAATTTAGGGAAAACTGGGAAGTTTAGCAGGGGAAATTTGGGGAAATCGGGCAAGCTAGCACAGAAACTTAGGGAAAAACGGGTAGACTAGCAGGGAATTTTGCGGGACTCGAGACAGGCTAGTAAAGATCTTTAGGGACTAGGGGCAGGCTAGCAGAGACAATTTGGCGAAAACCGGGCAGGCTAGCAGAGGAGATTGGCTCAATCGGAAAATAGGTTAAGCGATCCTTCCGGGTGAGCCGACTACGGGTTAGCTGAAGCGAAGCGATCGGACAAGCGGATAGCCCAGAGGAGGCAGAGGAGAAGCCAAGACAAAGCGGAAAGAGTCTCGATAGAGTGATGGGGTGCTTACACTGTCTACCTCCTTCAGCGAGTGAATCGTGTTCGTGTGGCCGCCGAGGATCCCCGGCCGATCGAGCGACGTCGAGAAGGCGTTCGCCTGAAAAAGGCGGATTTAATTATATTTGCGGCTTCAACAAGACCAGGACCAAAGCTTCCAAAAAATCGCTGCTAGCCTGCCATTTCCTAAAAAATCTCTGCTAGCCTGCCCTTTCCTAAAGAATCTCTGCTAGCCTGCCCTTTCCTAAAGAATCTCTGCTAGCCTGCCCCTTCCTCAAGAATCTCTGCTAGCCTGCCCTTGCTTAAAGAATATCTGCTAGCCTGCCCTTTCCTAAAGAATCTCTGCTAGCCTGCCCTTTCCTAAAGAATCTCTGCTAGCCTGCCCTTTCCTAAAGCATCTCTGCTAGCCTGCCCTTTCCTAAAGAATCTCTGCTAGCCTGCCCTTTCCTAAAGAATCTCTGCTAGCCTGCCCCTTCCTCAAGAATCTCTGCTAGCCTGCCCTTGCTTAAAGAATATCTGCTAGCCTGCCCTTTCCTAAAGAATCTCTGCTAGCCTGCCCTTTCCTAAAGCATCTCTGCTAGCCTGCCCCTTCCTCAAGAATCCCTGTTAGCCTGCCCTTTTCTAAAAAAATCTCTGCTAGCATGCCCTTTCCTTGAGAATCTCTGCTAGCTTTCCCTCCTGAACGGTTTTTTTCACGAATCTCTGCCAGTTTCCCCAAATGTTCTCTGCTAGCCAGCCATTCAAAACGATTTCCAAGTATTTTTAAAAAGCAAAAACCAACCACCACCTTACCAACAAATCAAAAATGCTATTTATACAATTACAGTAAAGCAAGAGGTTTAGCGCCCGCATGAACGTAATTAGGTTATTTCTGTAATTTATACAACTCTCAAAAAACGGTACGCTACAGTATAGCTACAAAATGCGCTTACAAAGCGTATAAGTCGATGCGGGATCTCGCAGGCCTTAAGGAGAAATATGCTTCATTAGTTTACTTAATTCCCGTCAAAATTGGTACTGGGCTCTTAGCGGGGGTCCCCTTTTTTCATCTTTTTGATGAGATTTTGGCTAAATAAAACCTGCATAAAAAGCTTTAAAGATATTCTAAATTTCGTTATAGGGCATTAGCGGTTTACTGAAAAAAAAGAAAAAATTCTCCACCCCCGTTAATAACGCAGTACCTTATAAAAAATTAAATATGCAAATTATAGCCAGAAAACGTACCCCAGGTCCGCCGTTCTTCTCGGCGTTCGGCGACGACTTTTTCCGGGTGAAGATGGAGAACTTGCGGTCGATCATCGCCGAAATTTTGCGCGTGGCCCCGGAGCTCGAGCTTCGCTGAAAAATCGGAATTTAATTTGATTTTAAAATAGTAAATAGGGAACTCCCAAAAATGCGCTTTACAACCCTGCACACAAGCTGTTGAATCTAGCGTTTAAAACACCTTTTAAATTGTTTAATAAACTTTTCTAAAAATTAATAAAATTTTGTAAAATATGGCGTTTTTCAGCGGATTTTACGCTTAAATGATTAATTAATTTACAGTATCGTCATTCTGATTTTTAAGATAATTTTTGACACCATTTTACGTGCAAATGTTGAATTCAATTAAAATAAACATCATTAAAATTCCGATACAAAATTTAGAGGGCTTTTAACGGTTTTAAAAACCTGTTTCAATATTTAATTAGCTAGGAAACCTCGCAAAAAATTCTCAAAATAACACTTTTTTTTCTATGTTTACCAACTTCTTAATTTATTTTATTTTATTCAAATTAATTTTTGTCTTTAGATACCTCAAAAAAAATTAAAATTCATTTAAAAGACCTAAACTACCGAAACCTAAATTTTGCGCATTTTCCGGATTCCCAATTTTAGCCGACGATGAGGAGGGAAGGAGCACGATACGCACGAGATCGAGTGTGCAAATCAATGCGGTGGGTGAGTGGGTGTGGCAGTGGGGGGCATACTAGCAGAGGTTCTCTGAGCGGGTGAGTTGAAGAGAAAAATAGGGGAAACGATTACGGTAGGAGTCGTGTGGGGTTCTGTACGGTACTGTAGGTTTACGGTATTGGCTACGTGCCAAAAAAGGAAATTTCGCAGGCAAACTGAAGAGAAATGAGGAGCAGGGGCAAAGACATTCACACATGCAATGGGCATTTTTAAAGCATATTTTTATGCAGAAAGTTAAGCTATAATTTTTTTCATTTCTTCAAGTTAGCGAAATTTGCCTAAATTTAAACTTTTCTCATCAGAAAAAAATTAATAAAAATAGGCAAATTTTAAGAAAATCTGGAAAAAATAATTTCCGATTGCTTGCTTTTATTTTTAACGCAGTTTTTACACCGTTACAGCTAATTTCTCTATTCAAATCCGACTCCGAACTACAAAAATTACAAATTAGCGAACTACCGTAATTTTTATATTTTTAAAAAATCATTCTAATTACACTTTTTAGACATTTTTAGCATTTTTAAACACTTTTAAGGCTATTTCCGTATGCAAATTCAATGGCTATTTTTATGTATTTTTACGATTTTTACGTATTTTCCGTATTTTCCGATTTTTTACAAAAAACTAATTAAAATTTATAGACCATTTTTAACTCTTTTTAAAACACTTTTAAGCCAAATTTCCTTATGCAAATCCAACTGCAAACTACAAAAAATTCCACACTGCAATCCCATTCCGTTCTATTGCATTCCGTTGCACACTACATGCCGCTGTAGCCAACCATAAAAACTACAAGCTACAAAACCAGGGGGAGAAGGGCCAGGTATGCAAATTTTTCTCTAAACTACAAAATTGTGCCGAAAACTAGAGTATATGATATGCAAATTGCGTGGCGAAAGTAGGGAGAAGTGGCACACGCAAAAACTAGTAGAGAAAAAACGGGCAAGAAAATCAATCGAAAGCCAGCTCGCGCCCCTATCGAAACATACCAGGCGCATTCGCACAAGCCCAATCGCGTCCTCGTCGAACTGAAAAATTGGGAACCCCTAATTTGCATAAAATGGCGGAGAAGGGGCAAAATAGCCAAAATAGCTGATTAGGTTTTTAAAGGGACGCGCCAGGCATGGGGATGGATTTTATAGGAATTTTGCTATTATGGTTCTTTTCCATTATCGGGGGACCCAACTTTTTGCCCAAGTCTAGAAATGCCTAGTAAATTGACAGAAAGTGTTTTAATATTTTTTTATTAATATATCACTCAATGTCAACTATAAAAACTATCTAAAGACTTCTAAAAAAATGGAAATTTTGGCCAAAAATCGGCCGCTTTTGGTGGAAAAATCGATATTTTTGATATTTTGTAATGCAAATTTGTAAAGTTTTCACATTAAGGAATTGTAAAAAATCTAAGAAAAAGTTCGTCCCCCCGATAATGCGAAAGAACCCGATTACGCAATGGAAACTCAACCCTTGCGTTGCGTGTCGCCACTGCGGTAAAATCCATAATTGATGAATGATGCAAAAAATCCACCGCCATACCTTGCACGACCCTTTAAAGGGACTGGGAAGCAACAGAATCGACCCACGCCTCGGCTAGGCCTCGACAGCCACGTTCGACGCCAAAGTACGCGATAGCGTTCGTTTTATAGCAAGGTGATTTATGTTATGCAGCTGTCGACACCTCGTCGCGCGAGGGGGTCGATTCTCGCACACTTTCCAGCCCCTTTAAAGCCTCGCAACTGGGGAAGGAATGGCACTCGATCAAATGGAAATTGGAGCGTAAATTGATAAATTCTCCCCCGAAGATTTTCCCAATTAAGTACCGTGCACCCGGAAAAGCCGGGACTCCAATTTGCATATCTTAAAATACAGCAAAAGGCAAATTACATCCTAAATAGATATTATTAAGTAAAAATTATTACATTACAATAATTATAATATCAAAATCAAAATAAATAGAAATAATTGCTTCAAATGAAATTATACTTAAAAGACGCTATTCCAAAGAAAACAACTAGACAGCAACCGTAACTTTCCAGAAAACAGTAGCTGAAATCTTTGACAGCAACTAATCGACAGTAGTAGTGTGCAACCCATGCAAAATTGTGGAAATTCGGGAATTTGAAACATCGTAGCTAGGAGTTGCGGTATCCAAAAAACAGTATTTTTGTAAACGAAAGACAACGAAAAAATTCCGATTTTCACGTTGCGTTACCCCAAAAAAATAGCTTTTAACGCCTATCGTATTAAAAAACGTATTTTAAATGTAAAAATGCTAATTGATAATTTTTAAAAATACTTAAAAAACCTTAAAAAGTTACTTAAAAACTCTATTAAATCAACCAGGACAACACAGAGCGCGCAAAACGTAAAAAAAAAACAAAAATAGGTGGGATGACCAGACGCACGAAAATTGTTATAAAAACGTAGAATTAAAAATTAAATTTAAAAACGCTATTTAGGGGCTTGTACGCAGCAGGTTAAAAAAGGAGGACGATACACCATGGCGCGCGCCGCTATTTAGCCAAAATAAAATGGGCCCGACAAAAAAATTAGGGGAAGGGGAAAGATGCAAAGAAAAATGCAAATAAATCAATAAAGGGGTGGTACGGCGACGCGGCACTACTATATCAACGGCCCGAATGGAAATATGCAAATTTTTGCCGGGGGCGGCGCATTGCCTTACCGAGACGACGGCCGTCGAGACGGTTGGAGAGGCGGATTTTCGATTTTTCTAGGCGGATTTTGAGAAACTGTATAAAAAGTGTATTTCTTTAAAAACTGTCTAAATTCTAGAACTAGAAAAAAACCTGGGTATTTTTGTATTCCATCCATTTTTCTAGGTGGATTTTGAGGAACGGTAGAAAAGATTTCTATAAAAATGCGTGAAAATCTAGGCCTACAACTGTTATAATACGTTAGAAGAATCAACATTGGGACCGAAATCTATTAGGTTGGAACATAAGTTCGCGCAATCGAACTTTGGAAATTTCTTTCTGAAAATTTAGTGGCCTGATTCCGATGTTCCCTCTTTGCATTTATCTATTGGGTTCATGAGTATGTGGGATCAAAATTACAGGTTTTTAGCCCCAGTAGTTTTGAAAATTTTTGCGTTTCTCTCGAGGGCACTTCAAATTTTTGACCCGGACATCTTTCCGAACCGCCATAAAGTCACCATAGGAACTGATCATCACTATAATAATAAGCTATATCTATCAGCTGCATGCCGAATTAGCTTAAAAAGGAAGCCAATTTTGTTTTGTAAAGGCGGGCCGAAGCGATTTTTCATTTTCGCTTAAACCTAGCTTTAAAAAATTCTAATAGTGAAGCAACGCGATTCTGTCCCACACATCGAATAGAGAATTTTATTGCATATCCGGTCATCCAAAAAACATTTTGGTTCTTGCCCGTTTTCCGGTCCGAAAATTACAATGAAAGAAAAATATTGCGCGAACTTTAGTTCCAACCTAATATGTACAGAAAAATCCTACGATTTTTCCGACGCTAAAGCAAGCAAAAATTTGATCTAAAACCTTCTGAAAACTTCAAAATGAAAAAAATCGATCGATAACTACCCAAAAATCGAAATAATCTGAAATACCCTTTGACAAATGAGAGAAATTACCTTACAACGACCGATATTCTAAGTCAATAAAATCAAAATCAAATTTTGCACCTTAAAAAATGAAGTACATAACTTAAATAAATTTAAATACCGTTAAAATCGAGCTTAAAATGAACGCTTTTTTATTCCCCTATTTTATTATTTTATAATAATTAATATAATTAATAATAATTATATAATATTTATTCCCCCTTAATAAATTCCCAATTCCCTTAATTTAACACATAGTTAAAATATTAATTTTAGACATTTAGAAACATTTAGTGAGATCAGGGGTGAATTTGAACAGGGGAAGGGAGAGCGGTCGTGTGAGTAGTGAACGAGAGGTTTTAAGAGATTTTAAGAAATTAATTTTCACAGGAGGGCATAGAGAATTTTAGTGGTTTAATAGGAATAAGATTCCAACGTGGAAAAGCTCTAAAAAATACCTTGTCGGAGTTGAGGCTGCCGCGGCTCGACGACCGCAGCAAGGCTTCGCCCTCGTAGTCGTAGTTGTTGTGTTTTCGTTTCCGCTTTTTCTTCTCCTTTTTTGTGCTCTCCTCGCCGTCGAGTTCCTGCAAAAAAAATAGAATTAAAAGGTTCTGTATGTAAAGAATCTCTGCTAGCCCCCCCAAATTCCCAAATAATTATCTCTGCTAGCCTGCCCAAAGTTCCTAAATAATTTCTGCTAGCCTGCCCTTTCCTAAAGAATCTCTGCTAGCCTGCCCTTTCCTAAAGAATCTCTGCTAGCCTGCCCTTTCCTAAAGAATCTCTGCTAGTCTTCCCCTTCCTAAAGAATCTCTGCTAGTCTTCCCCTTCCTAAAGAATCTCTGCTAGCCAACCCAAATTCCTAAATAATTTCTGCTAGCTTACCGAGTAAAGGCACCCGAAAAGCCTCAAGAAACCCTGCTAGCCTGCCCCTAGCCATAAAGAAATTCCGAAACGATCCGCGCTGGTTTGCCTGTAGTGGATTTTCAAGGAAACTGTGCTAGCTTGCCCCTATCCCTGAACTCTCCAAAGATCTCTGCTAGCTTCCCGGTCCCGTCGTCGTCTCAAAGCACCTCTGCTACATCGCCACCGCCTCGAAAAAAATCACATACCTCCCATCGAATCTTCCAACTCATCGCCGCCAACTCCTGCTCGAGCCGGTAGCGTCTGAAAATGGAAATTTAAGGGTTTGAAGTAAAATCTTTATCTCTCTCTCTCTCTCTCTCTCTCTCTCTCTCTCTCTCGCGCGCGCTCTCTCTCTCTCTCACCTGTAGAAACAGCCGAACACCAAAAACATGACGAGGATGAAGACGCCGGCGGCAACGAGTAGATACACGTGCAGGGGGTAGCCCTGAAAGACCAACAATTTTATCTACGATCTCAAACTACAAACAATACCTTTGGACATTTGCTCTTGTCATATCCGCAGATTGGCTGGTCCTTGGGTGGCTTGCCGCCGATCCAGTGCAACGGGCCGACCGACTCGAGCTTGTTCGCCGCCCCGGAGTAGTAGGCGACTTCCTGAAAATGAAAAATTATATCGACAGCATACCGACAAATTTTAAAATTCATTAAAAAAAGTTCTACATACATTTTAATAGCACAACCAAAAACTCCGTTTTCGCCTCCGAATTTCCTGATATAAATTACGTTCAAAATTTCATATAAACTAGCTTTTAGTGCATAGAATTTGCCTTAAAATTCAATAAATAAAAACTAGGATTAAATCAAGCAAAACGTACCACAAATCGATCCTTATCGGGGTCGAGGTCGAAGAGTGAGTAGTCCGAGTACCGGTCGCCGTTCTTGTCGATCGACACGTTGCCGGTGATGCCTGAAAAAAGTTAGATAAACTCTGCATCATGAAATCATGACCATATAGTGAAAATACTGACAACCAACATCCACAAAATGCCGACAACCGAAAGCGCTACGGCGCTAAAATATACGCAATAACGTTACTTTGTTTGCAAACAATTTTTTTGGCTTTTTTGGCTGTCGGCATTTTTTATAGCGGAATTCCGCATCGGCCTTTAGTGGGATTCGAAAAGTTTCACTTTAGGTTAAAAATGCCGACATCAGCAACGCTAATTTTTGGAAATCGAAAAAATCGTAATTTAGCGATTTGGATGTCGGCATTTTACCGTCGGTATTGTCGCAGTATCGCAGTACTTACCGGCAAAAGTGCGGCCCCACATCTTGCTGGTGATGTTGTGCCCGTTGCGCGGGTCCAGTCCCTCCTTCAGCGTCTCGTTGAGCGCGATCGCGTACAGCAGCACCGCGTCGTAGAACGCCGAGATGAAGTTGTTCATCTGGAAATGGGTGATTTAACGGGGTTATTGATGTTTAACCTCTGCAAAAAGGGAACAAAAAGCAAATTTTGAGATCAAAATGACAAAAATAACACTCTTTTCGCCCTAGACAAGAGTTTAAAACAAAGTTTTCTATACAAAAAGCTCTATTAAACGAAAAACTCGATTTCAAGACCCAAAAACACACCTCGTACTCCTTGTGCATCTTCTCCTTGTAGTGGTACTTCTTGTTGGCCCGTTCGACGACCCGTTTCTCGAACTCCTTGTACTCCTGCTGGTCGCTGCGCCGCAGGGAGATGGTTTTCAGGGCCTAAAAAGGTTAGTTATTAATAGGAAAATTTAAAAGGCCTGGAACAGACGAAGAAAGCAAATGCCACTTACTTTATAAGCCTCCTTGGCCTTGAGGTTCTCGGGGCTCTTCCGGTCGGTGTCGTTGGTGCGCAGCCATGGCTGTTCGGCGTGGGAGCTGAAAGGAAACGGATTAACAAAAACCCGCGAACTTTTTTTCTTAGGCTGCCATTTTTCAAATATAAATAGTGGAAAAATTTCTAAATGATTTTTTACTATTCCAAAACGTGAAAACTTTACAAATTTTTATGAAAAAATACAAAAAACATAGATTTTTCGACCAAAAAGGCCGATTTTTTACAAAAATGTCGACTTTTTCAACATTTTTAACGTTTTGAAATAGTTTTTCTCGTTTAAAACAGGTTATATATTGCGATAAACACTATTAACACACTTTCTATTAACCTACTAGGCATTTCTAGACTTATACAAAAAAAACATAATAGTCAATCATTTAAAAGGGTTTTATACATTTTAAAAAATCTTAAATATCTTAGAAAAATTGAACTTAATAATATTTATTAGTCCAAAAAATACCCTGTGGAGACGTCAATGTTGATGAAGACGTAGTCGCCGGAAGTGGCCATGCCGAGGTCGTGGGCGGCGAGCATGATCTCGCGCACAGTTTCCGGTGAAGCGCATAGGATGATGACTGAAAAAATGGAATATACTTTTTTTAAATCAGTAATTTTAGTTTGAATTTCTCTCAATTTTCTTTTCCACTTTCCACACGCTCTAAACTACACTTTTTCTGGTCCAAAACTTCCCAAAAACCCCCAGAATTCCCGGGTTTTTCTAGTTTCCACCAATTTTGCCGGGTTCCCCTGTTTGCCCACGGTTTCCGGTCAAAAGCCTGGGGCCCATTTTGAGTGCGGGCCCTTTTTCAGGTCTTTTCAGGGCCCATTGCATGTTGCACGAAATCCAAACACTGCTCGCTCGGCCGGCCTTCTAAAACTCGAGGCAAAGAATCTCCGCAAGCTTGCCCTGGCCCTCAAAAGTGTTCGAAGCTTCTCAAAGAATCGCTGCTAGTTTGCCAAACGCTCTAAATTCTCGGAAATGTCCGGGAGTCGAGGTTAACTTTCCTCAAGAATCTCCGCTAGCCGTCCTTAAACCCTAAAAATCTCGAAGATTTCAAAGAACTCTGCTCGTTCGCCAAGCTGCTAAAAAGGGAGAGAGAGAGAGAGAGAGAGAGAGAGAGAGAGAGAGAGAAAGAGAGAGAGAGAGAGAGAGAGAGAGAGAGAGAGAGAGAGAGAGAGAGAGTGAGAAACCCAGGTTTTTTTTTGCAAAACCCCGCCGCCTTATCCAGCAACTTCCGGTGTTGCTCGAGGCATCCTCTTGGTGCAGAATTTGGAATGTGAAGAGCAGTGATGTGCCTCTTCCTCGGCTTCTAGACAAGAAGAAGCCGAGGAAAAAGACGACGCCAATAAATAATCCAGTAAAGACCCTCTAGCCGACCCCGGCTTCTGCTTCGCCCCGTCAAGAACATGGAGATAGTGATGGTGTGAACGGGGTGCTCCTAGTTTTTAACGCTTTAAAGGTACCAGGAAGGCAAAATAGCTTCAAAAGAAGTGAAGTCAGTCCATTTTTTTGTTATCATGCCCCTAAAATTTTTCGTGCTCCTTTCAGTCCCGAATTTCGCATTTTGGCGCGCCTCCAAAAAACCAGGGTGGCGCTCGCCGGGGTGAATCGGATTTGCACGCGATTTGCAGCAAGGAGAGAGAGAGGGGGTCGGCTTTTAGCTTTTAGCTATGCGCCCCATGGGGTTGTGTTGTGCTTTAGAAAATAGGATAGAGGAGACGAGAGCGTCATTTGGAGTCGAGTGTAGCCTGAGGGTCGTTCTCTCTCTCTCTCCTCCCTCTCTCTCTCTCTCTCTCCCTCTCACTATCTCTCTCTCTCTCTCCAAAATTCGGAATCATGGTAATATTTTGAGAGGCCATTAAAGATATTTTTACTACCCCCTCCAAAACAACAATCATGTCGTGTGTTACAAGGCGGATTCGCGTGGAGACTACGCTTCACCAAAAATTGCCCGTTCGCCCGTGGTTCCGCCGGAATTTTTGTGGCATTTTTGGCGGCCGACCAGGCGGAGGCTTAAGGCGAAAAGTTGCCATTTTGGCTCAAAAAATGTAAAAACAGGATGGTTGAGCCATTTTCGAGGTCTGGGCAAGATATCAGAGATTCTTTGGGAACCGTCAAAAAACCAAAAAAACGGGCAAACTAGCAGATCCTTGGGGAACCGTTAAAACCATAAAGGGCAAGCTAGCAAAAATTCTTTGGGATTTTACGGTCTGGCGAAAACAACGCAAACCAGCAGAGATTATTTAGGAAATTCTGAGAGCTGACAAGGCGCGGGGGGGGCTAGCAAAGATCCTTTTGGAAGCGTCGGGCAGGCTAGCAGAGATTTTTGAGTAATCCACTGAATTTTTGCCACTTTAACCTTTCTTTAAACTCCTCCAGTGACTTTGAAAAAGCCCCCGGGTGCAGGTTCGGGCAGTTTTGTCCCTGGCTAGCTCCCCCCGTGCCGTTGCTGGCCGTCAGGGTGGATGGAATGTAATCCATTTTCGGGGCGCCCCCCTTCGGGCTCCCCGAGTGCTTCGAGGGAGAGGGAGCACGAGAAAGCGAGAGAACGCGAGATGGAGAGACGGCGAGAGATAGCAAGACCCGAAAAGAAGTTCTATTAGCCCCCGGAGGGGGGAGAAGGGCCCCTTCTACAACCCTTTTTTTGTCGAAAAATGGCTCAAGCTGCCCTGCCGGCATTTTTGGGGGGTGCAAAAGGGAGTGGAGCATGTCGAATATTTTGAGGTTTTTTGAGGCAGAGAGAGAGAGAGAGAGAGAGAGAGAGCGAGAGAGCGAGAGAGATAGTGTCGGAATTCCTCAAGAGTCTTGGCTAGTTGACCCCAAAAAACTAGAAAATCCCAAAAAAGCTCTGCTAGTTTGCCTAGAAAATCTTGAAAAGCCTGTCACGAGCTGAAAATTCTTAAAAAAATCTCTGCTAGCTTGCTCTAAAAAATCCAGCAATTCTCCAAGGATTTCTGCTAGTTTGCCTCGACGCTAAAAATAGCTCTAACTTTCTCAAACATTCTCTGCTAGCTCGCCCAGTTTCTAAAAAAATCCATGACTTCCCAAAGATTCTCTGCTGGCTTGAATCGACCTTTAAAAACTCGCAAAGTTTCCCAAAGAATCTCCGCTAGCTCGCCAGTGCTAAAAAAAAACAATTTTCAAATTTCCCAAAGGATCTTCGCTAGCCTCCCGGCTACCGTAGGCCGAGTTCTTTACGCTCGCCAAAAATTTCCAATAAATTTTATGCGATCGGCTGGCGGACTTCAAAGCCCCGTTTCGTGGGTAAAGAAGAAGAAGAAACTTTTCCCGTTCTGCATGCCATCCCATAAATTCCTCAAAAGTTGCCCAACGCCCCCCAAAAATATGGGCCCCAGGGGCCCTGCCCAGCCGGGAATTTTGCGGGGGTTTTGGTGGGTTTATTTTCAGGGGTTCTGCTTGAAAGGGGTGGAAAAACAGAGAGCCGGATTGATGGATTTTGTTGCGAGGAGGGTAAAGATTTTTGATTTTTGGAGCTGTAAAGGGACTGGGAAGTCCAATTCCTGCGGGTACTGTAGTCGAAAAACTATGAAAAAGTTCCCAAAGTTCCCTTTAAAGGTCCCCACAAGTCAAGAATTCCCCAAAATTCCACTGCTCACTCGCAAAAAAGCCGTCGCATTCCCTTTAAAATCAATTTTAAAAGCTCCAGAAAAGAGGATGTTTGTCAAATTTCCTCTGCTAGCTCCCAAAATTTTCTAAAGGCATCAGCAAGCCGAAAATCCGCAAATTAGATCTGCTAGCTTTCAGAAATTTTCCTGCTGTCCCTACCCCTTTAAAGTCGATTTTAACGGCATCAGGAAGTCACGGTTTCCTCAAAATTGTCTGCTAATCCCCAACGCCCAATAACAGTGGTCTTAAAGGTCCCAGCAAGCCAGAATCCACAAATTACCTCTGTTAGCTAAAAAACAGAAGGTTTTACTACTTTTAAAAGTTACTGACAACCCGAAAATTCCCCAATTTTCTCTGCTAGCTGCCTCCGAATAGTTTTATTCCATTTTTGAGGCCCGAGTCCTACAAATTCCCCAAGTTCCTCTGCTAGACACCAAGAAAAACGTCGACGTCACCCATTTCCTCTGCTAGCCCCCCGCCAAGAAACTCAACAGCGTTTTCGGGTTGCGGCAAACCCCCTTGAGGGCTGTGGGCCAATTTCCGCGAGCCTAGAGGCCTAGAGGCAGTGGCTTCTTCTTCTTCCTACCCGTCGAGCCAGGCGCATAACACTTTTATGGCTTTCCTTGGGAGCTCTGCATCTCTGGGATCTCTCTCCTTTTGGGTGATCTCTCGCTCGGGGGTCCCCGAAAATACGTCAAAACAGGAGGGGGAACTTCGGTGGCCCTAGGGGGGAGGATTTCGACAGATTGGATATATGCGAATGTCCTTGGCTAATTTAATTGGGGTTTTTAAGGAGGGTTTGGCCGGGAATTTATGCTAATTTCTACGGATTTTCAGCTATTTTTAGGAGAGCGAGATCGCGAGCGAACGCGCGAGAGCGAGAGAGAGCGAGAGATAGAGAGATAGAGAGATAGAGAGAGAGAGACAGAGAGAGAGAGAAACAATAGACGCAGAAACCATTTTCTAAGCACCAGTGAAGGCAAAATAATTCCCATTTTTCGACATTTCTACCCAATTCACATTTTTTCCTGCACCCGGCCCCCAAAAATGGGTCCTAACCAACTTGGGCCCTTGGCCCTTTGGCCGCACGCGGTCAGAATAATTCATTTCTCCCTTCCCGGTTCTCTCGCGGTAATCGACTGGGCCCTAACGTCGGTCCGGTGGGCCCTAAGGGGGTAGATTTACGAGGAAGTACGCGAGAACACTACATGGTAGCGGAGGCAGGCTGGCAGAGTTTACTTGGGAAAGATATCGGAAGGTAAGCTAGCAGAGATCACTGAGGAATCAAAAGACAGGCTAGCAGAAATCACGTAGGAACGAAAGGGCATGCTAGCAGTGTTTCTTTGAGCCCAACCTGTCCTTTGCGTATTTTTGAATATTTAGCACTTTTACTAGAGCTCAAAAACCTATCTCCAAACTTCACGATCCCTTTAAAACCCCCGCATTCCCACGCCCACCCCGGAATTTGTTTATAATTCCTGGAATTCAGCGGCGCCCGCCGAAATTCCGGATCTCCCCCCTCGCCGACAAAAGCCAGTGAAATGGAAAAGTGTAGAGAGAGAGAGAGAGAGAGAGAGAGAGAGAGAGAGAGAGGGAGAGAGAGAAATAAAGAGCAATTGAAAAAGTCCAGCCGACCGCCCGGCCGGCGGTCACCTAAACAAAATGGCGGGGGATTGGAATTTTTAATTGATTTTCCGGGTGCCGGCGCGCAAAATGGCATCACCCCATTTTTTTCCGGGGGAATACGGGCGTGTGCGGCAGAGGGAACGTCCGGAGGGGAGTGTTGCGTAGCTGTGAACACCCAAGAAATTGAGGGTGGAATTAGTGAAATGGCGTTCGAACAGCAAGTACGCAGAGGAAAAGGGTGTATTTCTTCCTGTCCAGCTCCCTTGAAACCAATTCCCCCCAGGTCATTTGCTAGTCTGCCCAAAAAAGTAAAGTAGGTAGTACCCAACTTTCCCGTGGCATACATCACAGCCGGGCCATTTTTTACACCGGCCAAACGTGTGCGCGGGGCCATTTTTCCGCTTTTTCCTCGTGCCGATCTAAGATCTGACGAAGGGGGGGGGGGGCAAGTTAATTAACCAGGTGGAGACAGAGTGAGAGAGAGCGAGAGAGTGAGAGAAAGACATACAGACAACACACGTGATCGCTCTATCTATGTAACGAGCGGCTAGAATTCGTCAACGAAAGTAAAAAACGGTATATGAGAGCAGCTGGAAGACGGAGAGAACTAGAGAGAGAGAGAGAGCGAGAGAGAGAGAGCGAGAGAGAGAGAGAGAGAGAGAGAGAGAGAGAGAGAGAGAGAGAGTGAGAGTGACGACCGCCTGAACTCCTTCGTCAAGTGTAAAAAACGGAATCTGATACAACGGCTGGAATAGCAGAGCAGTCATATCCGTTCAAACCACAGAAGCCCCCCAAAAAAGCCGGCTTCTCACCCGGCCGGTGGGTAATTGCCATGGGAAAATTGTTGATATAGGGGTTCCGGGAATATGATGAATAGGAAAATAGGAAGTAATTTTAACTCGATTAGGAGAGTAAAATAAAGTCTGTCCACAAGATAAGAACACCAAAACATAGTCTAGAATATAAAAATTAAATAACCAATTTAAAGAACTGGCAAGTCACAAACTCTCGCAATAAACGAAAAAAGGCAAAAAAGCCGCCAATAATGGCTGAATTTTTATTTTTTTCGAGAACCAAAAACCCCAATCGACATTTTAAAGGCACCAGGAAGTCAAAACACACTATCCACTTACGCGACAATAATAAGTGATGCCCGGAAATTTGCAAAATCAGAGCATGAAAATTTGGGGCTGCAAAATTGGCGCGAAATTGGCGGGGGAGCACCGAAAAATTTAATTGACGGTTTGAAGGGAATCCCTAGGGCCAGGGAATCCCCAAAATTTCATAAACACGATTCGAAAATATCGATTCGGGGGAATTGGGAATTGGGGCAGGCTAGCAGAGATTGTTTGAGATTTTGAATTATATCGCGTAATCGGTTGCCAAATAGGGTTTAAAGGGACAGGGAATTCAAGATAAACCTTGAGAGAAGAACGATAGGCCGAGAAAAATCGCAGAGGGACTGATTTAGATAGCGTAATCGGTTCGATAATAAAGAAAAATCACGATATCTGAAAAAATCGATAAACGGCAAGATTTAGATAGCGTTCGGTTGGCATTTCCCCAATAAAGTCACGATTTGAGGGCTAGGGAAGTATCCATGAAAATTAGTGATTTTTACCCGCTTTAAATCGCGTAATCGGTTGGGAGTCAGCATTACTAATACCAGTTTTAAAGGGAAAGTGAAGGATCAATGAAAATGAGGGTTTAAACCACTTTAAATCGCGTAATCGGTTGATAATCAGCGTTACCAATAAAATTTTTAAAGGGAAAGTGCAAGATCGGTAAAAATCTAAGATTTAAACAATATTAAATAGCATCATCGGTTGATTTTACAAAATTTAATTGAATTACCATTAGCCTTATCGCTGGCGTCCTTCAACAACTTGGTGGTGTACGCCTTTCTGGCCGGGGAGGCCATATTCTCCGAAAACGTGTCCACCGCCCATTTCGTCTGATTATGGAGCGTGGTCTTAATTGTGTTGAGCGCAAAATAGCATTCAGATTTGCCGCTCTTCTTCTCTTGCTGGAGGACGTGGTCGTGGAATAGGAAGAAGATGTGCTGCCAGGTGTACTTGGCGATCAGGCCGTTCACCAGCTGGCCCATCGTTTTGTAGTTGCCGACGAGGCGGGTGAGGAGGGGAAAGTCTTCTTTGTTTGACAGTTCTTCGGTCATTGCCGTCGTGGTGAAGACGGGCACACCGCCGTGCCAGAACGTCGACACCCTAATTATGCAAATTAGTTGATTATCTCTAATTTTCATGAATTTTTATGAATTCCGTAAGCCATGATGAGTAAAAATCGCCATTAAAAGGTCACTAAATCATTTAAAACAGAAAAATCTCGAAAAAAACTATTAAAAAAAGCCAATTCGACTATATTTAACGTAAGTTAATTCAAAAAATAGGTTTAAAAATCGGAAATATGCAAATTAAGCTAGTTTTCAAACATTTTTAGTTAAATTTGTTCAAAAATTGCCTATTTAGCTCCGTGAAATAATCAAGAATCGAAAACGATGCAAAATACAGTTTTCTACAGTATTAAAGGACCATGTAACCCTAACAAAATCGCACCTGGCGATCGGGGCCAACGCGAAGACGTACGGCAGTCCCATCACCGCGTCCACGGTCCCGTTCACGTAGTGCTCGATGATTTTCTGGGGCCCAACCGCGTCGGACTGCTTCGTGTCCTCGAACACGACGTTAAAGGCGCCGGGAGGGAGCAGCTCCCTGCGGTAGTAGATGTCCTCTATGGCCACGTCGAAGACGGGCTTCGCCTTGTCGATGGTCAATTTGAATGGGTTTCTGGCGTATTGGCCCTCTCTGGCCGGTAGACCAACGATGATCCAGAGTGGGAGGCCGGTTCTGGGGACTTGCCGAGCTTGAGCAGCTCCAAAAAGTTGCGTTAACATTAGGAATATAGAAAATAGGACGGCCGGACTTCGAAATCTGGGTCTAGCAATTTTTAGACCATCAAAATCTGGCATTTTTCCAGGCGCCAACTGACAGGGATTCTTTGGGAATTCAGAGAATTCAGAATTCCTATCATTTCCAAAAGCATCAACTTCAAGCTCAAGCCCAGGCTCCTTTCTCCGCCGCTTTTTCGCCCATCTGGGCGCATTTTCGCGGGGTTCCACAATTTCCGGGGCGACACCCGAATTTCCGGGCGTCTTGGCGCGCTGCCAGATTCTTCGGGTCCCCCGTTCCGCGGCTGTCCGTTCATCCGTGCACCCTTGGTGTTCATAGGAGCATGACGGAATTGCGGAATATTTATATTTTTCGAATTGATTTTGGGCTATCGAAGCCGGGGGATGCTTTGGGGAGCTCATCCGATCGATGCCATTCGCAAATCGGGGCGTTAAAGCGACAGGGAAGCGACGGGCGATTCGATTACGCAATGAAAATCGATCGAAAAATCCGTTGTGAGGGCGAGTACGCCTTTAAAATAGTATCGAAATCAATGGGAGATGCGGGAATCTTAATTTATAGCCGTAAGAGTTCGAATTCAGCCTTTTAAAAGGCCAGTAAAGTCGGGAAATCCCGGTTTAATCAATTACGCCACGGAATTCGAGGCCGACGATTCGATGACGCCACTTAATTCAGCGAATAAATAGCCGAATCGGGTGGATTTTAGTGTTTTGGGTGCTGCAGAAGGGGGGCAAGGAAAAGCAGAGGGAAAAGCTTTGCCCCCTGTGGCCGGCCGGCATGAGTTGTCCAGAGGAGCCGAGCGGACACCCCATGCGATCCGGAGAAGCCGAGAGAGAGAAAGGGGAAGGCCACGCCCCCTTTTTGCTGGGTCTCACCGGTTTTTTGCTCTTGCTCTCTCTCTCTCTTTCTCTCTCTCTCTCTCGCTCTCTCCAGCCGGCATGCCTTAGCTATGGGCCCTTTGGGTCCCAAGGCCCTACGGGTTGTTGGGCTGAGGAGGAAAAAAGGGGTGGATGGAAGGCAAGGAGGGAGGAATATAAGGGAGCTTTTCGTCGTGTGGCCCTGGGGGCCCAAAGTGGCCTTTGTGTCTGCGTGTGTGGCCAATGTGTTTTTGCTCTTTTTCTCTTTCTCTCGCTCTCTAGCTTTCTATAGCCTTCCAAGCCGTGAGGGCATTGGCCCCCGGAGGGTCCTAAAAATTCCGAATCGCTCCGCGCGGATCACGAAAAAAGAAGGCAGAGCGATTTTTGAGATTATTCTATATGGCTTCAGCTGAGGGGATCATCGTTTAGAGGGATTATCTATTGTTTCTTATTAATAGTATTTTTCAATGATCATCAACCGATTACGCGAGAAAACGGGCAAGTTCAATACACCGGAATACCAAAGCAATTATGCAACCGATTACGCGATGAAAATAAGGTCAGAGAGAATAACGATCAAAAGGTAGAGAGAGCGAGAGAGAGAGAGAGAGAGAGAGAGAGAGAGAGAGAAAGAGAGAAAGAGAAAGCTACATTAATTTTTGACAATTCCTCAAAGATATCTGCTAGTTTCACTTCACTATCCCTTTAAAATCCCCCCTGCAAAGGGCATCAGAGCCTTGCAACTCGGTCCCAAATTCCATTGGGTGCACCAAATTTCCGGCGTCAGGAAATTACAGCCTAGGAGAAGCAGCTCCTCAAAATTGTGCCCCCAAAAAAGGTCAGCAAGGCCCGAGGAAGGGGGCAGGCCGTAATTTAGCCGATCAAAGCATGGAGCGGCCAAAAATCAGGGCGGAAATGGAGGAGGGAGAAGGGTCGAAAACGGACAGAAAAAAATGAGATGCGTTTCAGAAGTTGCAAAATCTCGATAACTTGAATTCCACCAAGAATCACTGCTAGTTTACCACCAAGGTATCGTCTTAGCTTCCCAAATGATCTCTGCTAGCTGGCATTTAGTTACCTACGAATCCTCTCAAAAATCCGCAAAGAATCTCTGCTAGCTGGCCACAATAGCTAAAATAAAGCTACACAGTTTCCTAAAGTATCTCTGCTAGCCTGCCCCTAATATCGAATATCTAGATCCCGGCTCTCTCTCCCTCGCTTTTTCTCTCTCTCTCCCTCTCTCTCTCTCTCTCTCTCTCTCTCTCGCCCTGTCTACGTAGGGCACTTGAACCCCGAGGCGATGGGTTTTTTGCGGGGCCCTCCGACGACTTCTTCTGGGTGCCGAGAGGACCTCCTGACTTTTCCTGCCTAACATTTCAGGGGGGACGTCTTCTGCCCGGGGCGGCGAAACCCTATTTCCCGAGTCTGAAATCACGCCTGGGCAAGCATCGGCAAGGAGAGCAGGGGAAGGGAAGGGAGAACGACTACGATCAAGAACCCCGACCCGACACGCAATGGTTCCTTTAGATGGGCTGAACGTTTTGAAGGGACAAGGAAGTTTAAATGAACTAATATAATACCGTTCGGACGAGAGAGAGAGGGAGAGAGATGGAGGATAGAGAGCTAGAGAGCTAGAGAGAGAGAGAGAGAGAGCAAGATAAACTAGAATTTACCCAAAATCAATAGAGCAACAAAATTGTAAATACCTTTAATCCGCTTAACTGAACCCCCCAGTGAGTCTACAGAATAAATTTATTTTTCAGGGGCCATAGCGGGTGTTAGTCTGGGTGGACAGGATTAGTCTGATGCTCCCGGAAGCCGATTTCCGAGATACACCTCAATACAATGAACATAAAAATGTTTTCCGGACAAGCGGAATGAGACGGAAAATGTCCTTTAAAGGCCAAGATGTTAGGATTACCCAAAAAAAAACACTTTAAAGATAAAAATAATTATTCCAAGCATTGCACGTCCAAAAAGATCTGATTTTAAAGGGGCAGTGCCAGCAAAAATTGGCCGAATTCTCGGGCTCGATAGGATTTTTGATTTCGTAAGGGACTAGCAAGTCAGGCAAAACTCTTACAGGCGCAACAATAGAAGAAGAACGTCTTCACAATTTTTACCTTTTTTGACGCTTTTTTCCATCAGAATCCTAACACTTTCCAGGCCCTTTAATTGATACCCCACATTTTGTGAACTTCAGGTTCCCGGTCAGGGGAAAGCTCGAAAATTACGTGTCCCTTCGTCAATGGTAATTCATCATCCCGCCAATTGACAGGCGAATGGGGAAAAGTGGCAGTATCTGTCCATGCCTGCCCCGAGGCAACACATGAAGTAGACAAAAAATGGGAGCAGGAAGGACATCAAGGGCAAAAAATGTCTAGAAAATATTTTTGAGGCTTCAAAACCATTTAAAACCAAAAAAAAATCAAATTATCGCAAAAGCACCGTAACCACAGTAATTCTAAGCTGACTACCGTAACCGCCGCAGGATAAAAATATGCGAATATCTCGAAACTCCCTACAAAGTTCCGCGAAGCTACCGTAGCCAACGCAATACGTAACTTTTACGCAAATAAAATCTGACCTCCGTAACCGTAACCCAGCCCCAAAATTTACAAATTTACCGGAATATCACCATTACCGTACCTCCGAACGTCATAACTGTAGCGCGAAAAGTATGAAAATATCGTAGAAAATGGTCGAAAAATACCGACAAAATAATCGTAATCCTAAATACCGTAATCTTAGCTTTACAAAAAATATACAAAGCTATCCGAAAATTACCAAAAAAGCTCGACAAAAAACTACAGTACTTCCCCGATACCATACTCCCCCAAAATATGCAATTATATCGGGGAAAACCCCCAAAAAGCGCATCAAGGAGAAGCTGCTCTTCGGCTTACTCATTCTTATTCATAGCCATCACCCGCTTTCCGGTCACGTATTTCTCTTTTCTTTCTGGTTCTTTGCTTTCTAGCTCTAGGCTAGGCCAGGCCACTGGCCGGAAGGGGATCGCAAAAAACAAATGAGCCTAATTTGCATCTCTGGGGCGACGACACGACGAAACACCCCCCAAGCAGCCCCCCTAATTGCTGTCTACCGCGCAAAAAAGGGGGACAAGAATGGGGTTTTTTGGACCCCGGAGAGTGCAACGAGCCCGGGGAAATTCGGTAAATAGTATAAAAAGGAATTTGAAAGGTATAGAAATTGAAAAATCTATTAATGCGTAGATGTAAAAATCGAAAAACACCCAATGCTATAATCGTTAACTCACTAGAAACGTTGTTCATCTACCATCAATGCGCCAAAGCAATCTGTCTTAATCAGATCGAAACCGAAAGAATCCGCGACTCTGGCTAATGAACTGCTTGAAAACGTCGGAAAATCTTTAGAAAGCTACTTATACATCCTACTCTAAAACGGATTGCATGCGTGATAATAGCTGAACTGCCTGAAATCGTCGTGATTAAACCCATCGCTAGAATTAACGCTAAATATCGGCGAGCTGCTCGAGGTCGTTGAAAATGACCCATGAAACTCGTAGTAATTTATGAATCTAGGTGAACGGCTTGAAGTCGTCGGATTAGATTAGAGCCCAGAAACCGTATAAATTCCGAAAATTCCTTTTTTTTACTCGTTATTCTCTCCCGTCCTGCTCGAGCCGTTCAGAAAAATAGGCTTTCCCGGGCGTTTCTTTTGACGTGGAGCCCCGGGGGTTGGCCCTCTTGGCCCTCTCGCCGAAATTTGATAACCGTCCCGTCAAAAGGAAGAGCTTTCCCCGTCGCGACGCAAAAAAATGACAAAAAGGAGGAAGGGCCGAGCAGGAGCAGCAGGAGGAGGAGCACCACAAAAAGTTGGCTCTCAAAACCCGTTGAAAACGGGGGGCGCTTGAGAAATTCGGTGAATTATGGAAATTCTAGAAAATCAAAAAAGGAAAGAGAAAAAATTGTGTGTAAACATGGGGTTTTTTAGAAGTTTAAAGGGGTTGTTAAGTCAAGTAAACTATGGATTTTAGAGGGAAGTAAAAGTCTAGCTAAACATTTACATTTAAAGGGGCGTTGAAGTCAACTCAATTCCGCGGATTCTAAAGGAGCTTAGAAGGCATGAAAATGTATGCATTTTAA